ATTCATTGCTTTGTATAATGAATAAAGAATAATTATTTTTTTTAATATTGGACTTATAAAGCCTCACAAGTGTATTGAAGTCCTATGGTTTTAAAAACATTTTTATTATTCAGTTGAAAAATTATGCACTGTGACTTACAACTTATTGGCCTCACTTCATGATTGAAAGTATTTTTCTGAAACGCTTTTCCTGAATAAATTTCAGTTTTAAAACTACTTTACCTAACCTCGTGTATTCATTCGATAAATGTCCAGATAAATTTAGAAAATGTAAATTATCAAGAATTTCTTTTAGATTCAAGTTTTAATTTTAACCGTACTATTCTATGCAAAAGCGTCATTTAATAAATCAAAGCAATTCGTAATGTATTATATGTGAATAGTGGCGTATCCAGAAGATCCCCCTGGGTCTTAGATCGCCCTTCTGCCAATATAATCTACAATAAACACAAACTATAATATGTATTAAAACATTCTATTCATATATTTTTAAATAGGCTAATTGGTCAATTGTCACCAACATTTAGGCTACAATCCACAGTCATCTTCAGAGTACAACTAATCGGTTAATCCGTTCAAAAATATATAAATAAAATTTAGTATTAAAAATTATATTTATAAAAAAATATTGCATACTTTAAGGCATCTTGTTATTCTACCTTTTTATTTTCACCACATTTGTTTTGTTCAATTTCACCACTAAATCAAAATATATTTTCTTATTTCAGGTGAAAATATGGTTTCAAAATCGTCGCACCAAATGGAAGAAACAGGACAATGTCACCAATTCCGAAGCAGCTGAACATAAATCAACTAATTCCGTAAAACCATCATCGGCTAATGAAAATGGCAAATCACAAAACCAAGCAACAGGAAACTCCGCTGTTGCGAATTCGACAACTTCAGCGCCAACGGAAATGTCAACAAAAAAATCGCACAACAACAACAACAATAATAACACTGAGAAAAATCGTGCTATAACGAATGAAACCAGCACAAAACTAACAACAAAACACGGAACAAAAATTAAGAAACAATTAAATGCATTACTTGAAAAAACAGCGAAAAACTCCCATAAAGGAACGGTGGGCGCGAATGAAATTAGCAATGTTAGTGGTGGCGTTGGTGTTGGTGTTGGTGCTGGTGTTGGTAGTGGGGGATGTGGTAACGGCGGTAGTAATATAACATCTGCTACAACAGTAACCATGGGCAAAAGTAGCACTATCAATGCCAAAAGCAACAATGAGCATAACCATCAACAACATCAGCTTCATCACCAGCACGCAATTCCATTAACAGTAGAGCCTGCAGCACCGCTGGAACAGACTGAAAAATTAGAAATCAAATTGGAAGAGTCACCGCAACATCGTGAATTGCAATTGAGCTTGCTTAGGGCGGCAAACAATCAAAGTCCACTTTTTAGTGAAATGGATTTTGAAAGTAAATTAGCAGCATCCAAAATATCTAATGCATTAGCCTTCGCCAAACTGCAAAACGGAAATAAAACACAAAAATCCAACCAAGAAGCAACGACTACGAAGCAATCATTGAACATGAATGAAGCTCAAGCGGATGAGGATAACAAACAGCAAAAAATTGAGAAAATGGACGTAGATATATTGAACGATGACTTGGATGAAAATGAATTGAATGGAAGGAAAACTGATGCAAAGGATGCTGATGCTGAAAACAATGAAAATCACGAAATTGACGAGGATGAGTTTATGCAGAACATTTAAGTCACTAGCGGAAAGGGACGTCTGCAGTTTCAAGATGATCTTCCAGTCAAAATTAATTGTGCCAAAAATTATTTTAACTAAGAAAAGCATGAAATGAGCTCAATTTAATCTTTTCAATTTAAATTATACTAATTCTACACTAAATTACTTATAAGGAAAAATATTAATAAGTACGTTAAGCATAAATATAAGGAATACGTTACGTGCTATTGTAAGGCTAGCAAACAATTCAATTAACTATTAGTTTTTAAGTTAACTTAAATGTAAATGGATTTTAATTTTTAACACTTATCTAATTATAAATAAATATATATAAATATACATATATGTAAAATAAATTTTACTAAATATAATTTAAATTTGCTCAGAAGAGAGAAATAATCTCAGCTGCTTAAAAATGAAAGATAATAAACCCTAACATCCTTTGGAGCAGAAGTGACAGGATAAGGACTACATGAGTGTCATATTTCAATTTCAAACGTAATATTTGTGTGAATACCCTAATTTCAAAAATAAATCAATATTATGAATACACAAAATATTGCTGTACATTGCTTTTTAATTAACAAATTGCTTTGGAAATTAATATATATAATATACAATATATATATATATCCGCTGCTAACAATTAATTTATATTAATGTGATAAAAATAAATAAAATTAAATTGTATACGAGAATTGAATTTTAATGACATAAACAAATGAAAATATATTTTACGGTAAATCATATTGCAGTTTTGTAATATAACATATGTATGTGAAATATATAATTTGGCTTCAGCTCAACTATAAACCCCAATATACTTAAACATGAAATATGTAAAAACATTTTATCTTGAATAATTAAAACGAAAACTATATAAATATTATTTATTAAATGTACAAACAGTGACAAGCTTCAAAACAGAATTAAATAAAAATCTATGTAACATAAAAAATGCCTTTTCAGTTTATTATTTAATCTACATTTTAAGTAAAGTATGGACTTATCTGAATTCTCAGATATTATCGCAAAAATCGATATAACCATGCCATACTGTGGACCGGAACTTTATTATGCAATTAGTTGATCCACAACAGTTCCCATGTTTACACTAAGGCAATTAACTCATATCCAAGGGTCGTTACAGTCAACAATGCTAAAATTGAGTAGAGTGATACAATGAAATATCTAGGCTTGACTTTAGAAGAAGTTAATTTGAAAACATGTGGTGTCTTCAAATCAAGTCATAACAAACCAATACACAAAGTCTGAATCTACTTTAAACCCTCTTTAAAAGCATAAAATTAAATCGATTAAGTGAAGTACGAGTGCTCATCTATAAGCATATTAGTGACCCATCTTTGCTGTATGGATATGTAGCCATTACTAAGTTAGCTAAATCCTCACTTCAGAATGTTCAAAAATTCTAAAACAGCACCCCAAGGAAGGGTTATATTCAAAGATCTGTAGCTTATCAAAAACTCAATTATTATTGTATTTGTGGACTTCCATTGCGATTTTTGATAACAAACACATATTACAGAGTTTCATTTCTTCATCCGATATGAGATATCTACTTAGGTGTTTCTTTAGCTCATGCATCAGTGGCGAGCAAACTTGCAGATTGTGTTTTGAGGTCTCATCCTCTTCCCTACAAAAACTATAAATTCCATTAGAGCCAATGAAATAAGGTAATGAAACTGTAAACTCTATAGTCCCATGATAGAATTAGTGTACTGCTTCTTAAATTATTTTTATTGAGTCCTTAAATCCTAAAAGTGTTTAAGGTTGAAAGTCATTATATATATGATAGATTATCACAATATATCTTTATTTCTCCTCTTCTTTTGAAACTCTCACCTACATACAAAACTTTCGATTGTAACCATTGCCAAATATATCGAAGTTAAAGCATCTAAACTATTCAGCAAAATATATAGTCATCCGAATAATTCTTTTGCATCACTTTAAAAAAATTAAACGGACAGAGGTATCCATTCTGTCGTACATTAAACAAAAAATTGTTTTGACAATAAAACTGATGTAGATTATTAGGTTTTCTTAATGTTAATCCAATAAGACAGACCCAAAAAAATATATAAAGGGTTACTAGCGCTTAGCAATTCCATTACATCACAATTGTGCAGAAGTAAGTGACATTTTTAAAGAAAAACCATAAGTAAATTTGTTAATGAGAGTGGTTAATCTTAAGTGTGAACATAGTGTAAGCTACTTACCAATAATTGGCTTAAAACTAGAAGACGCTGCTATTAGTACTATATTTCAAATAACTGTCAGGCTAAAGAGCTTAGTAGTTCTTATAACTACTATTAATTTATAATTAAGTACAGCAGATTGAAGATTGCTGGTAAACTGTGTAAGTCGAAATATTTTAATCTCCATAACTATCACAATAAGAAGAGTCTGAGTTTATTGTTGCTACTGGCTGGAAAAGAATGAAAGTTTTAGTCACATTCCTTAGAATTATCAAACTTTGGTTGGAAAGGAGTACTAGATCGGTAGCTTTGATCATTATTTAAAAAATCCGAAGCGGGAATTATTTTACCATCATCGATAGACTCATTATCTTTTGTTTAGAGTCAGTTATTAATAAAAAAAATATATATTATCGTCGCAGTGCTCGATTCTACTGGGAGCCCAGTACTCTATTAATTTCTATTTTAACGTGTATTGCTCGAAAATATATTTAAACAAAGACAAATTTGTTTTATTGTAATAATATTCAAATTAATTTTAATGATTTGTTTTTAAAAGTACAATTACCTACGAAAATTTATGTCTGAACTCATCAAAAAGAGAATCCACATCTATGAACATCACAAATTTACCTGAGCATTAGTGAAACTTTGAACTGGTACGTTGTTTTGTGACCCGCTGGAATCTGCTTGTGAAGTACTTTTGAGAGGTGTCGAACCACACTTGGTCGTCGCTGGAGACGAGTGGCTCCGGGAGGTTGACCCAGCCGCTCTTGGAAACTTGCACATATACGAAAACATTTATGTGTACTCTAGGGAACAATATGTAAATATGTAAATTTACATATTGAAAATCACCTCAAGTACTACAAACGTTCATCACTTTAATTTACTGAAATTAAATAAGATATTTTCTTTAGTTTAACATTTTATTATTTAATAGCTAATACATGGTATTAACTTCATTGATTGTAAAATGCTATAAATGCTAATGTGATATATAAGGAAACGTTAAACTCCTTTGTTTTAACAAATATCTTTTAGATATACGATAGAATGTCAAAAAAATGACCAAATTTGTACAAAAAATAAATACTGTATCGATTTTGAGTTTTGTTTTTTTACATTGCAAATATTTCTAAAATTTTTGCTATTTGAACTTAATGTAATATACGTAAATAAAAAAAATTGTATTGTGCTTTTACAACACATCCACCACGCCATGTTTAGTTATGACGAATTCAGCAAACTCATTCGGTGTGTCTGGGGAATAAAGTATTTCAAGGCGTCTAATAGTTATTAATTTTCCATGTATATTGATTTGCTTAGGCAATTTAGAAATATTGATTCTAGTACGTCCTAAATGAGCCCAAGCCAAACCCAAACACGGTATATTGTCTTTGCTACCTTTCTGTCCAAGCATTACAGTATCTTTCGGACAGCGCTTTGTAGGAGTTTTAGAATTAACGGATGATACCTACAAAAATAATTTAAAAATAAAATTAAAAATAAATTAAGAAATCTTCAAATTTAATATAACATTAAACTAAACCTGGTTAACACAAATGATGGCACAATGATATTTATCTGCATAACCCAACAGTGCATTAGCCAATTTTCTCATTTCATTTGCACGTGTCACGTAATCATCCTGTAACCGATATATAGCAGCTACAGAATCAATGACTATTAAACCAATATCACGAGTTGCCAACAAAGTATTCAAACGCTCACTTACGCATTTCAGCAAATCTTCCTGCAGGAAAACCAAATACAGTAATATACACAAGTGTATTTATTGTTCAGATTACTTACACTCTCAAAAACGCACTCGACATGTATGTTCCCAAGATAATTGATGGACAGGTTAGGATACCGCTGTTGAAAAGACTTAGCTAACTCAAACATGCGTTTTGAAGGAAACAAATCTTCGGTACAAATAAACGCAACACCTTTGCCTAATCCACCCATGGCTGGAGGTATTTGAACCATTATTGATAATTGTAACAACAGCTGGGTTTTGCCAACACCTGCTCCACCACAAAATTCAGTGATTCCGCGAGTGACTATACCACCACCAGTGCAACGATCCAATGCAGCGCAACCAAAACTTATACGTGACCATTTTGCGCTCTGATGGCGTAACATATCTTGAGCTTAAACTACACATTATAATATTAGTTTTTAATTAAATAATATTTTATACCCGTTGAAAGCTTTTGTTGTTCTGCAAACAATTTTTCAGCCATTGACTTGATTAATATGATTTCATGCTCCGTACAGCCCAATTGCAATAGCTTTTCCTTGCTAGCAGCAATTGTTTCACGGGCGCTATTTAGATTACCTTTTAATGAAGTAGATATTTTGTTATTATTTAACAACCAATTTTTTAAAAACAGTTCTTACCTTTATCAGCAATTTCCTTTAAATAATTAGGCATCATCTCCCAGCTCGACATTCCGCTGCACCAAATTAACGAAACAATTTGCTGTCAAGTTTTTAATGTGTATTATTAAGCAACTATAAGTTCTAAATGATTTCTAGGCAATATTTTGACATCGATTAAACAGTTTCAAACTGGCGGTATGATTATCTACTTACCAGTTGTCAAAGAGCAAATTCAATTTAAAACTGGAAAATCATGAACAAAAATATTTTACTTTACAGTTTATTATTTTGTAAGAACTTTTTAGAAATATATAAATTTTTAATATGTATAAATGACATTTAAAACTTATTTTACATGTAATTTTTAAGCAAGAAAATAAAATTCTACAATATGTAATTTGACATTGCCAACGTCATTTTATGTTTCGACCAATGACTATCAAACTGTGTGAAGACATTTATTCTTTTTAAAGAAAAAGGAAAATTTTAACTTTAAAACAAATAAATACATTTACATATATAAAATGCTTATAGTAATAATTAAAAATAATCATTGTTTTCATATAATATTTATGAGCAAAAAGCATCACATCCAACCTTTAATAACCAAGAAAAAGTGAGCAGCGTACACACTTTTCTAAATACATAAACACAATTAATAAAAACACAAAATTTTATTTTAAAATTAATGTTTATTGAAATTTTACATTTTTAAGCAACTTTTTGATACACATTTCATTGCGACGATGCTTTGCAAAAAATATTGAAAATAAATTTTGTAATAACTGCATACACTGCACTGACTCGTTTGTTATTGAAAAATTGCGAATAAACTTTTAACTTGACATTTTTCTAAAACTATAAATCTTTCAAAATGTGAAAGAATTATGATTTTATACCAGCAAGCATTTCAAGAGCTTTAATCTCCCGTTCTGCACTGATTTTCTTCTCTTCAGCCAATTTAGCATCACGAATTGCCTTTTGCTGATTTTCGATCACACGAATTTTGGCTTCTTTCGAGGACAACCTACTTTGGTTTATTGCACCATAACCAATACCAGTTATCAGTAGTGACCATCTAGCAAATTTAATAAGTGGAGAAACACGTACTGGAGCTTGCGACATGTTGAGTTAGAAGTTTTCTTCGATAATTATGTAATTTTCCGACAGTGCAAAGCTGAATCTGTAATATAATATCAAATATAAGGAATTGTTTTGTGATAATGAAAAAGAAAAAATGTTTTACACACGTCAAAACTAACTTTGATTAAAATATAAAAAATTTTAATTATATTATTATTTTACCAAATTCCAAGCTTCCTACGAATAGTTCCAGACGAAAATTTCTAACCCCAAAAAGAAATGTCAAGTTCGTAAAGTCAAAGTGACAGTTTTGATGTGATTAAATAATAAACGTTTTCGAAGTTACCAGATTTTTTACACAGATGTTAGCAATATGTGCACTGTATAAATGTTTTCGCAAAATTTTGAATATGTTTTTTGAAAATAGTCTTTAAACAAATTATACAAATTAAGATTAATTAGGATTGTTGGGTGTTTACATTTTTGTATGGGATGATATGAAAATTTTAGTATGTTTTGTAAAGAATTGATCAAGTGAAATATTAATTTATGACAAGTTCTTGTTATCAATATTATAGACATAAAGACATAAATATATTAAGACTCTATTAAGCCAAATATATAGAAACTCAAATCAATGCAATCGCAAAACATTTCTAATTTATCTAATCATTCTAATCAACATTTTTTGAAAAGGAGGTGGGTTATGGTAGTAATCGTTTTCTTAGTATCCGTTTCTTAATTATATGTTGCCTGATTATAATATTATAATATAATATATAATATTAGAATTATGACTATTATTTTAGAAGTTTGATTTTTTATTTCTATGAGGGATAAAATTTAATTAGTTTTGTTGTTAAAAATCAGCTGTCTCAATCTATTGTATAGAAAGCAGGGCTTTTACGTATAATGAGATACGTAAGAATCAGTGGAATTTTGTTTTTGGACATAAAAATAGTATAAACTTACACCATCTGATATAAATATTAAGTATTAAGTTCACTTTTTATGTACCATATGTGAGCTGATTGGTTATTATAATAACTTATTTACAAAACTGATGTTTAATTATTAAAAGATATTCATATATGCGATCAAGATAATGTGCTCCCATACAAACTTCAGCTATTCATATTACAGTGTAAACATTTAAAGCAAACACCTGCTTCGAAACATATGGCATCACAGATTGTTGCCTGCTGATTTGTAATTTGTGCATCTTAATTTCATGTGTGGCAGCAGGATTTTTTAAATTATCTGTCTTTAATTTGTTTAACTTGTATTTTGCATAATTTAAAATATCAAATATGAGCAGGAATTATAAGGAGGATCAGGCTAATGAAATAGAAGCCTTAGATTCTATTTACTGTGGCGATATGGAAAGTAAGTATATTTATGCCAATGTGGATTTTTCTGCCGGTGTTAAAAAACAGGACAGCAATAATAAAATATTTTATTACACAAAATAAACCTTAAGTATTTCAGTAAAGTTTCCAGTAAGAAATAAAATGGTTGTGTATTGTCGAAATGGTCTTCATCTTTGACAGGTTTAGACCATGGACTTGATCCATAATTATTAGGCGATGTTTATTTATAATACTTCACGAACAAAGAAATTAAATTTGTGTTAAAATTTTCTGTAATTGGCTTTATTTACAGTTTTGGCAACGGAGCCCCTGCATAAGTTTAAAATACCAATTGCCACAGAGGAATATAATGCTGAAGAACAAAGTAATGGTCTCGCGTGCAAATTGGTGTTTGCATATACAGAAAATTATCCCGATGAGGCTCCATTAGTCGAAATTGAAGATACGATAAACTTTCAAGATAATTTCGAATCAAAATTGTTAGAGCAACTTGAATGTAGTATTAAGATGAATGTTGGTCTTGAAATGATATTTTGTTTAGTAAGCAATGCGCAAGAGTGGTTAAATGAAAGATGGGATGAATTTAAGAAGCAAGAAGAAGAGGATCGTGCCCGTAAATTGAAAGAGGTGGAAGAAGCTGAACAGAAGAAATTTGAAGGTACACGGGTTACAGTGGAGAGTTTTTTGAAATGGAAAACGGAGTTTGAAGAGAGCACAGGCATTGCTGCTAAAAGAGAAAAAAATAATGATAGTAAAAAGTTAACTGGACGTGAACTATTTATCCGAGATAATACATTAAATGAATCTGATATTAAATATCTATTAGAAGCTGGTGATTCCATTGAAAATGTTAAAATTGATGAAAGTTTATTTCAAAATATTTGCGAATTGGATTTGGATGAAGACGACGACGATGAGGAGTGGACACCAGGTGATGATGATGATGATTAAACATATTGATGATTTTAGGGTTTTATTTTGTAAATTTATAACAAATCTAATACTTGGTTATATGAACAGAATTTTGTACATGATTAATTTTGAATATAAAAATTAAATTGAATTAAATTATATTACAAAAACTTTATGTTTTTTTTTGTTCTTCGATACTAAAGTTAACGCGGTATCGTAAACACATGTTTATATAGAAGTTATTTTTCTTATAAGTCACTGGAACCTGCTTGTGAAGTCCTTTTGTGAGATGTCGAACGGCATTTGGTCGCCGCTGGTGACGAGTAGCGCCGGAAGGTAAACCCGACCGTTCTTGGAACCTTTATATACAGTGACTAGGTTTATATTCCTCAACCTAGGCTATTATCATTAGCATATAAGTCACATTAACTTAAACTAACGTATTATCAAAATACAAGATTTCTTCTGTTTTTGAAAATAGTTCAGTAGTTTTAATAGATCTACGATAGAAACCTAATATCTCTAAACACTTCATCCCAGTTCGTTTATTCACCACTTATTAAAACAAATATACGTTATTTACGCCAAAAATTTAATAAATTTATTTTGAAGTACAAAAACTACAAAAAAAGTAAACTTAAATGCGTATATTTAAAAGCACATAAATTGAGTGAGACGACTTCGTATCAGACAATAAATTTTTATATTTCATTTTATGGTTTTAACCATAGACAAAATAGTGCAGTTGCACGTTTAATCCAAATCATTTTTATTTGTTGATATTTCAGTTAAGTGTAGGCCAGTGCTCACTGAATCAATATCATCCAAGTCTACATCATCGTCAGAAACTGAGTCTTGTTTTTGTTTCAAATTCGTTTTTTGTACTGGTGGTAATTTAGCATGCGGAAAATCAAGCATGGACCAAGAGCCTGGCTCAGCTTTTGGCAAAGTTATTTCCACTTTGGAAGCATACATATGAACTGTTGTTTTGCTAACATCAATTACCTAAAATAGTAAAAAATATATATTAGTTGGTTTAAATAAAATAAAATATTAACTTGTGACGACCAACTCAAGTACATAAATATTTGCATTTTCGAATATAAAAAACATATTTGAAGTATAAATAACATTTTATAGATATGAGAGAGCAATAGTTTGTTATTTCCGGCTTAGTTTATTAGTTTTTTTTTTGTATAAAATAAGTGATACTGAGCGATAAAATTTGGTTGTAGCGACTATACGTTATTGAACCGGTTTTTCTAAAACCCAGTTAAGCAATTAAATCCAATGCAACTCAGTGATTAAATTAATATTTAGTTAAATAAAATAGTTGTTATAAATAGTGGAGATCTGCTAATATTGTTAGCAATGGGGTACGACACTTGGTCTTCATAATTAAGAAGTGGTTCCAGGATCCGGTCGCTCCTGGAGCTTACTATAATTATTATACTATAACACTCTATAGCTTACTATAAAGACAAGTACTATAGCGCCAGTATGTCATACTTTTGTTAGAGCAGCAAATTATAAATGCAAAGTGCCTACATACATAAAGTTGGTCTGCACTAGACTAAATATACTTACGCCACGTAACTCCAAATCTAGGTTATATATCGCATTATCTTGTTCTGGGAAAACAAGATTTACATGCAATCTAATAGGATTCACTTCAATTGTACTCTGTGAGTAATCATACATTTTTGCATATACTGACACAATCACATTGGAGGCAGTTTGATGCCAGTCATGTCGACATTTCACTACTTTTTTGTCATCATTCTAAAATTAAAAATTATTTTATTCAATTTAAAAACTTAGAAGTTATGAAGCGTACCTCTTTGAACCATTTGTGGTGTCCATTAATGCAGCCTGGTTGTGACATGAAAACAGT